CTACTGGAGGACTTTTGTTAGAAGGTTGATGATAATTAGAACTACGTCTAATCTACGTTCAATCTTCTGCATAATTTGTTGTGGGGTTAGCAGCGAGATTGTCTCAGTACTAAGTTTGCAAATCTTCTAGAAGAGGCAGGGAACACGTAAATGATTGGAAATTACATAGCAAAGTTAAAACGGAAATACTTTCTGATGTGATAGTGTGCACAGAAAATTTCAGTTATCAAAGGAGACCACATATTAATGAGTGAATAATATGCGGTTGATTAATCAAAGTAATTGCCAAAAATAAAATGGCAAAAGTTACAAAGGTAAACTATAGATGCACGTCGATCTCACGTACTGTCTTCCAAAGGCATAAATGGAAAATCGGCATGGTGCTATATCTTGGAACTGGAACTTGGATTATTAGGAACCAGATCTAGTGCAATGTCCTCTATATAATAAATTCGTTATTTGGGATGGCCTTCTAGAAAAAAGCGTTTTAGGAAACCACCGCTGTATGTGTATAAAGTTATGGCTGTGGCTACGTATCATGTGATATCGTTGCAAATTCCAGCGCTATGTTACTCATTCATCTAATAGATTTCAACCCTGCAGGTGTTAGTTCACAACTGTTGTGCAAAATATGAGTGCAGAGTAACAGATTCCGTGTATAGAACCCCACAGTTCACAAGCCAGATTCATATAAGGTAGTTCCATGTTAGTATCATCAACTCTGCTACTAATGAGTGAGATGTAGTGACCCCGCAAAAATGTTCGGAACTCTAACAAGTTTAAGTAGTTAAGTAATTTATTACACTCGAAGAAATATTTCTAACAACAACAAAAAAAAAATGTCGAACTTTCTCTTTTCTACAAATAACTCTATATCAAAAATAAAAATAAAAGCACTTAAAACTATTCCTGGCATAAAAATATTCCTTCCTTGACACTTTTTTTTTTCTTATACAAAACTTCAACCTATTTCTTTTGCACACTTTTCAATGTGTATACGCTTACAGGCAAAAACACACACGAAGACCTTTTTTTTTTTTCTTCTTTTTTGTCTCTCTTTAGTTTCCCAACAGATGTGAAAGAAAAGAAGTAGGGGAGAAAGATAAAAAAAAAAAAAAAAAAAAAGAAATCCTTTCTACATAACTTATGAGAAACGCCAGCAAAGAGTCGAACAAATTCGGCGTGACTCCAACCCATTAATCCGAAGGTAAGAGTGGCGAAAAAAATCACGTATCTTGTTGCTTTCTTCGCCAAGCCGAGCGAAATAAATTGTGCGCCCAGAGAAAGAGGGATAAAAAAAAAAGGTGGGGGCAACCTCGTAGAGGGGGAGAGTGCTGTCAGCAATGCATTCCATGATAAACATCTGTACATGTCAGAGCTAATTGCTTGACAAGAGTAAGACCACACGCAGGGAGGGACTGCCAGCCATGTTATGATTTCTGCACTGTCAGAAATACCACAGCAGAGGAGGTAGCTTGTCCACCGTAATGGGAAAGTAAATAAGCAATTTCTTGCCACCGTGGAGGGTGATGTGAGTGTTACTGGGAAGGAATTAAATGGAAATTAAATATGCTTTGCAAGGTTCCATTTCTAAGCAAAATAATATCAGAATTCTTTACTTGAAACACATAATTCGGATATATACCGAATGGCAATAACTATAAAATATTATCTTAATAGGCGGACATTTTACGATAAAATAGGTGAAAATATTAAGTCAATTATCATCTATCATTCAGAAAATTCATTCTGAAACAACTGTGGGTTCCTGTGTATGTGCTGAAGAGGATCACTATAGATCTGTAGAATGGCAAGTCTTCCACAGCAGAGAAGGTAGCTTGTCTATTGCAATGGGAAAGTAAATAAGCAATTTCTTGCTACCGTGGATGGTGATGTGAGTGTTACTGGGAAGAAATTAAATGGAAATTAAATATGCTTTGTAAGGTGCCACTTTTAAGCAAAGTATATTTTGGCTAAAATCAGATATGCATCTACCTGATAGGATTACTCATAAAATACTTTTTCAATGGGAGATTATTTTACTGTAAAATAAATGAAAACATTAAGTCAATTTTTAAGTCAATCATCTTTCAATCCGAAAATATGGCTCAATCAGCTGTAGGATCATGTGTATGTGCTGAAGATGATCGCTATAGATCTGTGAGACTGAATGGCCGAGTGTCTAGCACTCTGGCGCTTGGTGCCTTAAGTTTCGGGTTCGAGTCACAGCGATGTCATGGATGTTTGTAGTAGTTCGGAATACACTTTAAACCGTAGGTCCTGGTCTAATATGATCGTAGAGCGTTGTCTTGAGGTTTAGTCCGTCTTCGGCCCTCGTGATTCACTCGCTAAAGTGAAACTGTATATTATCTAACCATGGCCCAGTCGCCTTCGATGGGGTCTTCTGGACCTGGTGTAGGATTTCCTGCACCAAGGGTATTAGTAGCAACAACAACTATAGATCTGTAGGATAGCAAGTCTTTCCGTTTTATACGAGGAAATAGGGAAGAGGATTTCAATACTATAGATGCCATCCCTGCAGGTGTTCGTTCACAATTGTGTGCAAAATACGGGTGCAGTGAAACAGATTCCTGTGATATTCTTTATGGAACCGTATGCTGGAAAATCCATTTGTCATGCTCAAGAAAGAAAGGAGGCGAATGTTAATCCCAAAATCCCACACATACTGTCCCTGAAAATGTTGGCTTACAATTGTTGAGTAAAGTATGGGCGGAGTTTAGCAGATCACCATGGTGTTCCTTGTAGATCCTTAGACCAGAAAGCCCTTCATTTATGCTCGAGGAGGAGGAAGGGGTGATATAAAACCCACGAGGCAATCCCCTGAGGTATTTGTTAGCAAATTTTGTGCTAAATATTAGTGCATGTAGCCCCAAAAGTGTTGAATTTACCTAATATATTTCCGCAGGTCGAAACAATTACAGACGGGATATAGTCTACGTGATGAGTTACTGCATGGTGATTGGTAATAGACCAGATGTTGAGGAAATGACCACTGAAAAGAGTATTGAGAGAAGCTGGCATCCACCCTCTTGACGGATTTTCTTAAATGGAGGTTTTTGGAAAAGGAAAAAAAAAAAGAGTTCTGCGACGAGTTGACAAGAAGCGTTGTTTTTCTCTTTTTCTATGAAGTAATTGAACAGGCCGGACAATTCGCCTGTTTTCAAAGTTGGCCCTCATGGTTTCATGTATAACGCTGTGTGATAATTAAGGTATGCCGCAGACCGGGTGCATTAGATTCGTCGTAGTCTCGAGAACTCTGAAATTCTCCAATCTTGCAATGAACTACACTTGTGAATCAAATTGATATCCTTAATTTGCATTTCTTTGTAAATAAATTTCTGTAAATATACATATATAATACTTTTAAATAAAAATGTAATTGTTCCTATGAACTTTAAATTGGCCTTCTTCTTGAAGCTGTTATAAGTCTAGTACAAGTCGAGACGTAATACGGATAACTGCGTCTAATTTGCGTACTGTATGATAGAAACTCACACCAGACCTACTGACAGTCGATAGTCATATAGACTGTCTAAATCGCCAACAACTAACCTCATTAATGAGAGCAGTAACTGCAACGGACACTGCTAGTAGGTTCGGATTTGGCCTCTCCTGCAAACTAGCTAAGCACATTACCGCTAGTTCATACAGAATATGTCAATCGCCAATAACTAACCTCATTTCTGCCAGCAGTGACTGCAACGGATACTACTAGTGGGTTCGAATTTGGCTTCTCTTGCGAACTAGCTACGCGCATTACCTTTAATTCCCGCATTGTTGTCGACGAAATAAAAATTAAGGTGAATAAAAAAAATTATTATTAAATTTTCTACCAATTTTAAAATACCGCACGCTAAAATAACGTATATGTTATTAAAATAGATGCAAAAAATAAATAAATAAATCTGTAAAAGATTTATTTCAAAAGTTCTGACAGAACTAAAATATATATTTAAAATTCAATCACGGAGGAAAATTGTAAAAGAATCGTTATAAAGAATTACACAGAAAACTTTTTCAGCAATTTCCTTTGTTAACTTTACAATTCATTCTAATAGAGCAAAACTAAACACGAAACTACTTTTTTTTATTTATTGATTATGCTCACGCAACAGAGAAATGACAAAGTTCATGTAAAGTTTTCTTAAGTAGAAAATAAAGGATTTCTAGAAAATTATCTTCTTTTATTCATCAACAAATCGAATTTCGTGCTTGCTGAACTTTCCAATAAATTTCATTACGGGGGAAAGAATTCTTGAAAGCTCCATTGAGTCCATGGTCTAAAGAAGTAAGATTCAAAGATTGAAAAGCGAATACTTTTTTTTTACCTTCAAAAAGCGCACATTCTACGGCAATTTAAACATACTTTAAATACTTTTTTTTTTACTTCATCTTCTATATTCTAGAATGTATTTCAATGCTTAAAATGTTTTTAACATTCTTCTGAAAATTCTTTGCATAAATATTCTGAGATTTCGTGAAATAATTTGTTTCAAATTGTGTATCGATTTTTACCTTGTAGTAAGATGAAGTTTTCTGAGAAGATTGAACGCTTTAACCGAAAAAAAAATCATCATGGTATAAATTCTCGTTATCATCATTGTATAAAATCTAACAATTTTTTTTATTCATTGCAGAATTTTCGTTTATTAGAATCATAATTTTGAAAACTTTCTTAACACGAAATAATTTGAGTTGTTGTTGTTTCTTAACCCACTTGGCTGGCCAAGCTCACAAGCCCATATGGACTCATGATTGAAGGGGAAGGAAGCAGCTTCTGTTGTGATGGAGCACCCGTAGGTAGAAGCCTGACTTTTGCTCCGTGACGCTCTTACAGTCATAGAAGACCGGGACCTACGGCTTAAAGTGGATTCCGAACCACTACAAACATCCATGGCACCGCCGGGATTCGAACCCGAAACCTGTGGCACCGAGCGCCAGAGCGCTAGACACTCGGCCATTCAGGTCCCAAATTTGCCAACGGCACGCAGTGTTCCCAGGTGGTCACCCACACAACTTAACTTCGGTGATCTAACGAGAACCGGTATATTCAGCATGGTATGGCCGTTGGCTAATTTGTATACTTGCTTAATGCAAAAGGACAAATTAAGAACAGAAAATTGACGTCAGATCGTCAATTTAGTTTCGCATATACAAAAAAAGCACATACTTTTCGAAAGAATTTATTTGAATATAGTAATATTTTGCATTGAAATAAATTACGATCCACCAAGAAAATGATTAAATTTTGTTTGTTAGTTAGATCACCAATGTATCGCATTCAGGTGGTGTATAAAAAACGAGAAATTACAATTCTGGAGCAAAATTTCATTAAAATTTAATTCCACCTACTCGCATTGTCTATACCAATGCCTGGCTTACGTTTTCGAGCAAAGTATGCGCATTTGTAACCATTTTTTTAAAGAAAGGGGGAGAATGAAATTGAAGTATCGTTGTACTAGGATGGATATTGTCATTCGGCACTATTGTAAGGAAAGTTTCAACTAAAAGAGTATGGTAAAAATAGCAATGGTGTATTTAGATATATCTCTGAATAATCATTCAATTCGCTCGAAATTTTAATCGATTTTATATATATATATATATATATATATATGCATCACATCCATTAATTTTAATTCTATTTTGATAACTTCGTGTGTTGCTTTCATGTTTGATAACTTATGTGCTTTAACAGTGTATTTAAAGAACTTATTGTGTAAACGCTTTCTTTACCAAAATTACCATGAAATAATCCACAAGATATATTAATTTACATTAAATTTACCTTATTATTATTCAATTATCCAATATCGAATTGATATCATGTCTGCTAATTATAACGTGTCAAATATATAGAAATTCTAGAGATTTTTTTTTTCGTTTAGTAATAAAAATGGCTTTTACGCACACGTGTAATAGCTAATTGATGAGCTAATGACTGTGAGTTAAACAAGCAAATTGTTTTTTAATGTCATTCCGTATTAATTCTAATTTTTCACTGTTCAATTATGCTCCATAACTCTTAATCACACAACGTCTTCTTAACAATATACTGGAGTCTTACATATTATATTTAGGTTAATTATATATTAATTACAATATAACTATTCTTCAATTCATTAGCTTAATAATTAATTATGCATGTCTTACGATAGAATAATTATAAAATAGAGCGCACCTAAGCTAATTAGAAATTTGAAGTCAACATGCTCGTCATGTGATGGGCGTATATTCCACCAATTTCTCCCACTGACTTACATGGGACTCATCGCTTTGTTAATTTGCTTTGCCCTAAAAATGTTAAAAATAGCATTGTGTATACTTATGTTGAGAACTTTGTAAAAAATAAAATCAATATTCTCTTCACTGTTACGTAGGAAATTAATTTACTTATTATGTTGAACGAATATTGAATGTTTTAAGAATATCCATATGTGATTTATATGCAATGTAGTAATATAAGTATTAGATTAGTAATTTTTGACGAATAAACTATAATACTCATATATTAATCAGATCTAATAATATTATATCTAATTTAAAATTATTTTAGTTCGGGCTTTTTATGGTGTTTTAGTTTAATATTTACGATGGCAATTTGTAATTTTTCGGCAAATATCAATACTATTGGTGAGAAGGATAAAAAAATTGTCTTAGATTGTCTAGAGAGATGTAGATAGAATTTAAATACAATTTGACAATATTCCTTTGAACGAATTTTGCTATATATAGAATGATTCGTTTATGAAAGCTATAGCAGAAACAAATATAAGAAATAATAATAACAGGATTACAAAGCTCCTGAAATAATATTGTCAGTAATTCGAAAGTGGAACCAAAATGATATGACGTTCATTTATTTTCTAAATTTTGTTAAACTAATGAATTGAAACATTCGCCTTATTAGAGATACAGTTTTACCTCTGAAATACTTGCTATTTTAACTTTAATTGTCTATTAATATATATAATTCGAATAACAAACTTAATTCAAATGTTGTGCTTAATCCTCAGTTCATCGAATGTAAGGGAATACACAACCAATCATTCAGTAATCCCTTAATCTTCGTGCATATGCTTTAACAAACATTTTAAAGCTTTCTAGAGCTCATTTTTGGTAGTCGAATGTACTAACAACAGCTTAATAATGGAAGTTTAAAATATTAAAAATTTAATTATGCTGGAAGACTTCATTTTCTTATTGTATTTATTTTAGAAATCACTGCCATACGTTTCATTAACATGTCTTTTAAAGTTAATACTCGTCTTTTATGCTAATGTTTGAAAGTTAAGGTTCTTAATTCATCATATCTGACTTCATTAAGAATTTAATTTTAAGTAAGCTGCAAAGGCCCTAACTAACGTAATCTTCCATAAACTTTCTTAATAACCAATGAGAAATCAATTAAGTTTTTAACTAAAGCCATAATTACAAAGAAGTTCAGGAAATAATCAAGAAGCCAGCCGGTTTTCATCATTAAGTAAATGAGTTTCATAAATAATGTAGTTTACGTAATGTTCATTATAGTCGCCATCAACGCTAACCAAATAGTATATGCTTGTGCTTCAAATCACCAATATTAAACTCTTCTTTTTTGGTGTAGAGTCATTAAAAATAATTTAATATTTGAAGAACTTACGAAATTTATAATTTATCTCAAGTCCTCGTACAAAAATTTTGATTAAAAAATAAGGTACTTTTAGCTTAGACGTAGTTGCACGTCATAAACTTTGCAACTAGATCGTGTTTTGCGACTTAAGAATTTAGTTCTTACAGAAAAGTTTTCAAAGAAAATTAATGTAAGTTATTTGGTGAAAGAAGAAATAATTAATTATTAATTTGTTATTAATGTATAATTTTGTTTTATGAAAATTATAATGGATAGAAAATAATATTAATTATTTTTCTAAGTAGCGTTATAGGATGTATTGAAGTTCTAGAAGAAAAATCAAAGAGAAAAACGATAGAAAATATGAATATTGCTACGATGGCCACTGAAAAAATTATATTATTTGTGTCAGTTTAATTACAAAAATATTATAGAACTTTTTAGAGTATTCTATGTTAGTTACCCAATTTTAAAATAAAACATATTTGAGGAATTCAAAAGATATTACTTTCTAATCATTTCAAAGTAATACACAATCATTTAATGTTAAAATAAAATTCTAAACTAAAAATCCCTACAAAAGGTTTGTGGTTATTCTTTTAGTATATCGTTTTGAAAATGCATTTTAATATATCTATTTTAAGCCGTTTATCAAAGATATAATTCACTCATTTAGGAGTGAAACACTAAGTAAATGCATGCACAAAAGTTGTTTTATGAAGTGCAATTATGAATGATTAGTAATGATGCAGGAACATATAAATATTTCAATTTTTAATTAAACCCAAACTTAAAGCTACATATAATATATAATAATTGCAATCTATGCAATAATTTAAAAATAGTTTAGTATTTACAATCATTCAGAAGAAAAATCAAAAAGATATTATACAAAACATCCAAATAAAACAAATATTTCACAGTCAAACATTCAGTACAATAGATAGAGAAACATATCTCTCTTTTACGGAAAAAATAGGACAAAATATATTTCTTTATTCGTATTGTCATTAGCTGAGAAAGGAAGATATTCACTACTGTCTTCTGTGCTTTATATTCATTTTATTCAACATTTATTCTACATGGAGAGGGTTCTAGACATGCTTTTCGTTTTACTAAGGTGGATATACTTGCGCTATCACCAGGATGTCCTTTGTTTTTGTTAATACTTCCATGTTAAATTGATATGTCAACATAATTGTAATGAGAAATAATACTTCTCCAATGGTCTTTCAGGAATAATTCATCATCATCTGCATGTTATATAGAATAAAATCAAGTATTTCGTATATCGATGCAACAATCTTTGTTGCAATCACTATTGATTCAAGTCATTTTCCTAAAGTTGACTACAGCGCATTCAAACCATGGAAAAAATCTGCTTTCACAAAGCATATTTTAATTCTGATCATAAGCGTGAACTTTTTTTGAATATATATCCACAACTTTTTTCCAAAAAAAATCAAACTATTTGAAAACTTATACTTGTGAAGACAGCCACTTAAAATAGCAGAAAATAAAAACTAAATATTAAAGATGTGATTAAATTCAATGATCAATGGTCGCTAATGGTTTCAATATAGACAGTGGTGGTCAAGTTCAATTACATAACCTCGAAATCTAATCTGAAATGGCAATTGATGAAAAATGCCTAAGAGTCAGAAAAGATTCGCCCAGAATGTAAAAAAATAAAAGAAACCCGCAAAAATCCGTATATGAAGTAAATAAAGCTAATATTTCGAGGTATTGCTAAGTACCATGCTTTAGAATATACTACAAAGGGGATTAGTTTAATTGCAGAATAAGCCAAAATGAAGTAATGGCAAGATTTAGTTTATCAATAGCTAAGTCATGATAGATATCATCTCAGAACATTGGGGAACGACATAGTTTTTTAAGCAGAACATTGAGATGTTATCATAATCAAATACACTATGTGGAAGAAAGTGACGGGACACGACACTATAACGACATAAACCCATATTTATTAAAATTAATAGGAGGTAGGGCCTCCTTTGGCTGCGATCACAGCTGCAACCCTTCTGGGCATGCTTTCCACTAAATTAGCCATAGTGGCAAGAATAATTTCCTTCCAAATGTTTAACAGGAAGTTCCATAGTTCAGGCTTGCTTTTGGGGAGTGGGGTGCAGGCCCTCAACTGACGGTCCAATTCGTCCCAGAGATGTTCAATAGGGTTAAGATCAGGGCTCTGCGCCGGCCACTCCATGCGTTTAACGTTGTTGTTCACATACCAATCAAGAATCCTCCTTGCAACATGGCATGTTGCGTTGTCGTCTTGATACCAGCAATCATCCATACCGTACGTTGCCCACAAGGCAGGAAGGACATGATTGTCGAGAATATCACAGTATTTATCGGCATTCATCGCACCATCAACCTTCACCAGTGGGCCAGCCCCATACCAAGAGAAACAGGTCCATACCATCAATCCTCCTC